TGTATCATAAAATAACTGAGTAAAAGAAATGTTAATCTTGTAATAATTTTGTATCAAGAGGTTTAACAATTTATATCTTTATTGGAAGTCTGGGGGTGTCTGGTATAGCAGTGAACACCTATAATCCCAGCACTTGGGAGGTTCAGGTAGGAGGATTGTTATGAGTTTGAAGTCAGCCTCAACTACAAAGTGAGACCCTGTCTCCAAAAATCAATCAATCAATCCAAAAATTCACCTGAATGAAATAATCCACAGTATACAAACTATTAAGCACAAAGATGTTTAGAACATTTTTTTATAGTACTGTACATTTTGAAAACAACTGGGGGAGCCGGGGAGATGGCTCGGTAGATTAAGTGCTTGCCTGGCAAGTGCAAGGGCCTGAATTCAATCCCCAGTTCTGCAAAAAAAAAAAAAAAAAGAAAAGAAAGAAAGAAAACAACTTGGATGTCTATTTGAGAATGTTACATGAATTATGATAGTGGACAAATTGTGTAGCCAAAAATAATTTTACACCAAGCAACAGACACTGCCCAGATCTGTTTTTTAAATTTTTTTTATTTTAAAGAGAAAACAAAACCCAATAAAAATGATACAGAATTTCAAAAGATGATGGGAAGTTAACAAAGGTTATTGCATACTATTATCTTCAAGCTAGTTGCTCAGATTACCAGGTACAGGCATATAAAATTGATCAAACAGCATAAGCAGTAACTGTACTTTCAGTGAAGTAATAGAAGTTGTAATACAATTATCTTAGCTATCTTTTTTTTTTTTTTTATGTATTTAGTACAGGGTCTCACTACACAGATTGGACTTGTAGTGATTCTTTCTGTTTTTCAGCCTCCCAGGTGCTGGGATTACGGGCAAGCACCACCACACCCAGCTTCAACTGAGTCTCACCGGGCTCCGGGGGTGGGGCCGGCATGCTCCAGGATTGAACCCCCGGCCCCTGTGTCTGCCAAAGCAAGCGCTTTAATCTGCTGGCTTATCTTAGCTATCTTGTGTATATATACATATCTTTTTCTCCTTCTTCCCCCACCACAGTTTATAACAAACTATTTGGAAACTTATATTCCAATACATTGGAGAACCCAGAAGAAATGGAAAAACTCTAAGCATTTGAATTGCCAAGTTTGAATGAAGAAAAATATAAAAAGTTTTGACTAGACCAATAACAGACAATAAAATAGAGATAATAACATCCTACTGTGGGAGACCAATGCTTGGCCTCATACTACAGATTGTTGCATTTGATCTGTTGTCTTGTGACCTTCCCAGAGCTATGTTTCTGTTTCCTCTCCGAGCCATTTCCCAGAAGTCACATGCCTGATCTCCATTCTAGAGACCACCCCCCAGTGCCTAGCGACCTGATGACGTGTAATCACTCCTCCCTCTTCCCCCACTTCCTATAAATTCGCTGAGACTTCCTTGAATAAACGGGGCTTGATCAGAACCTTTGTCTTGCCTCCATTTCTCGTGTCTCCTGTCCCTATTTCATCCCCACTCCCCTTCCAGGGTCCTCGTTGACTAACCCGCGGGTCGGGTCATCCTACCAATTAAGAAAAGGCCAGGACCTGTTAGATGCACTGCAGAATTCTGCCAGAACTTTAGGAAAGATCTAACACCAGTGCTTCTCAGCCTCTTGAAATTAAATGAAAGGGGAAGAGTACTGCTAAACTCATTTGTGGAAACTAGTATTACCCTGATGCCAAAGCCAGAGAAGGACTTAACAAAAAAGGAACCCAAAAAAAACCCCACTAGAGGCCAGTCTTCTTAATGAATATAGATGCAAAAGTGCCCAACAGAATACTGGCAGAGTGCCAGAATTCATTTTACAAAGCACACATCATTCTGGGCATGGTGGCACATGCCTGTAGTCCCAGCACTCAGGAGGTTGAGGTTATCCTGGGCTATAGTGAGTTTGAGGCTAGCCTGAACTATGTAGGGAGACCTATCTCAAAAAATAAAAGTTTAAAAAAATTATACACCATGACCATGTTAGCTTCATCCCAGAGATGCAAGCATGCTTCACTGTAGTAAATCATTAAATAACATAAATAAGAGCATGGCCAGAAATCACATGGTCATCTCAATAGATGGAGAAAAGGCCTTTGACAAAATCTAGCATCCACTCAGGATTTTTTTTAAAAAAGACAAAGCATAGAAAAAAAAATCATATAAGTTCTTACCTCAAACTAGTAAAAGTCATTTATGACAGACCTAACTGCTAACATGTGCATTCTAAGTGGAGAAAACCTGAAAGCATTTCCTCTAAAATCAGGAGCAGAACAAGGGTGCCCACTCTCATCACTACTGTCCAGTATAGTGCTTGGCAATTTAAGGCAATCAGGGAAGTAAAAGGAAGGGAAGAAGTCATACTGTCCTTATTCACAGATGACATGATCCTTTCACATTTAGTAGAACCAAAACCTCCACCAAAAAGAGTTATAACTATTAATACACCAATTCAGGAAAGTAACAGGATACAAAACCAGTACACAAAGTAAGCACTGGGTGTGCTAGCATGTGCCTGCACTTGGGAGGCTGAGACAGGAGAATCCCTGCAAGTTCAAGGCCACCCTGGGCTACATAGTGAGTTCAAGACCAACCTGAACTTCATAGTGAAAAACTTGTCTCAGAAAACCAAAAGACTTGCTATCCAGTGATAAAAACTACCAAGAAAGAAATCAGGAAAGTAATCCCATTCATAGTAGCTTCAAAAAAATACATCTGTGTTTTGATATTTTGAGACAGGGTTACACTTGTGTAATCTTGGCTGGCTTTCAACTCATTCTGCAGTCCTGGATGGTCTTTGTAGTGTATTGTTGAGTGGTGGTCAACTTGTTACACCTGACTGAACTGAAGTAGTGTGGTGCTGGGTATGGAAGGCCTGAGGATTGTTGGCCAGCAGTATAAAAGGCAGAGCAGGAGAAGCTGTTAGGAAAGCTGTTTGGAGAAGCTGTTGAAGCTATTTGAAGCTGCTGTCTCTCACTTGTGCTCTTCTGCTGGAGGACCTTGTTATGCTGGCTTTCCTGATGAACTTGTCTGTTGTCGCTGGGGAGTTTAGGACCTTCATAGTCGCTGAGATTAGCTACGGTTCCTTTTGCGGGGGAGCTCTGGTCTTAATCTTGAGCATCACTTCCTGGCTCTGGAGGGGAAGGAGATGCACTGCTCAGCCTTGTGAAGAAGCTTGTCACATTGGCTTTCCTGATGGGAACTCAGCTTTCCTCATTGCTGGAGGAGCTTGGGACCTCACTATTGCCAAGGATGGCTGTGGTACTTTTAGGGGGAGCTCTGGTTTTCTTACCTTGAGCATTGCTTCCTAGCCATAGTTCAGATCCCTCAGCCTGCTAGCACAGATACTTCATCCTGCTGGCATACTTTCTAGCTTCCACCACTGGCCTCTGGGCCTTTCCAGCACAAATCTGTGAAGCAGGCCTTTGTGAGACTTTATCATGGGCTCTAGGCCTCCAGTTGGACTTGTGGGAGGCATTGTTATGAGCTCTGGGTTTTCAGCTGGATTCATGTAGGATGTTAGGATCCAGGCCCTCAGCTGGATTCTTTGGCCTTTGGTGTGTGGACACATTTCCTCCACTCCTTGTATGATTCTTTGGGTGATTCATTATAAAATAATATTATAAAATTTGTTCTGTATTGCTGTTGTTTCCCTTGTAAAACCTCAAACCGTTCTTGAACTCATGGTGATCCTCCTGCCTCAGCCTCCTGAGTGTTGAGATTATAGGCATGTGCTACCACATTTAGTTTTAAATAAATAAATAAAACAAATAAGCAAACAAACTAATCTAACCAAGGAAGTAAAGAGCTCTATAGTAAAAATTCATTACTCAGAAAAAAAGGGAATACCAGGAAATAAGATAGTTTTGTTTCTGGAAAATCAGAATTAATACTTCAGAATGGCCATCTCACCAGAAGTAATAATAAAGATATAATGCAATCCCAATCAAAATACTCATAGTCTTGTACACAGACCTAGAAAAAGCAATCCTAAAATTTACATGGAAGCAGAAGAGACCCAGAATAGCCAAAGCAATCCTGAGCAACGAGACCATAGCAGGAAATACAATACCAGATTTCAAGTTATAGTACAAAACTATCATGATAAATGCAGCACGATAGTGGTATAAAGACATACATGTTGTTTGGTGTACAGAATTACAGATGCAGCAACTTCAGGCATTGTATCTTCAACTAAGTAAATCACTATGGAGATACCTCAAAGAACTCAATGTATGCAATCTACTTGGCCTAGCCATATTTGTATCTTTTTTTTTCATACTGTCTTTAATAGATGTTAGGTAAGTACCATGTTTATAGCAGCCCAACTCATATAATAGTTAATTCTTCAAAATTAAAATGGCCAATAAGCCTATTAGTGGGAAAATGGATAAAGAAAATGTGGTATATGTCCACAACAAAGTACTACCTAGTCAAAAAGTTTAAATTTGAATTTTTTGTAGAAAAATGGATGCACCTTGAGATCATAATGTTAAATGAAATAAATCAGACACAAAAGATTGAATATCACATTGTTTCTCTTACATGAGAAACAAAAATAATTTAAAGGTCAAAATTAAGGGGCTGGGAGATGGCTCAGTAGAATAAGCACTTGTCTGGCAAGTGCAAGGGCCCGAGTTCAATCCCCGGTTCTGGAAAAAAAAAAAAATCAAAATAAACAGTAGATGATAGGAAACAGGGAGATGAACTTTGTAGAAGTGGGAAAAGGATCTAGAAATTGGGGAAGATAGGAAGATACAGGGAAGTGAAACTTTTTAAAAGGAAGGAAGCAGACTCTTACATTTTGCTTTTGTGGGGTGGGGCTTTTTGCAGTCAGATATAACATACAGAAGTGTACCGGATTTTAAGTGTGCTGCAGATTGATAGCATCTATATCAAGTTGTTTTCAGAGCTTTGTTGATGACTTGTATAATACCATCTTTTGAAGGTAAGAATTTATCTTTTTAAAAATGTTTTTGCAGGCAAGTGTCAATTGAGGAAGGAGAAAGGAAAGCCAAAGAGCTGAATGTTATGTTTATTGAAACCAGTGCAAAAGCAGGCTACAATGTAAAACAGGTAAGTGTCCCTTGAGTTTGAGTTGATGTTACGAAATTAAGAAAACATGAAATAATTGTGTAACTGTTCCATTCTCTAGCATAAGATTAGCTTCCACTTAGCAACAGCAGGCCTTATGAATTAGCAACGTATTTTCTTTCCTTTTTTTTTTTTTTTTTTTTTTTTTTTTTTGCAGTACCAGGGATTGAACTCAGGACCTTGTGCTTGCCAGGCAAGTTCTTATTCTACTGAGCTATCTCCTCCCAGCAACATATTTTCAAACAATGAAAAAACATAAATGTGCCATAGTTGGGGAAAAAATATTTTAAAAGACTTTTCGAACTTTTCAGATTGTGCCAAGGGAACTATTTCATGATAGCCAAACCTATGATTTAAATGTACCATGTTAGAATATATGCAGTGTAGTATTTGTTGCAACTGTACTTTCGATTTGATTTGAAACTGTCTCATTGCTATATGTTTATCAATAAAACTTTGAAAACAAAAAAAAAGTTGACTTCTACAGAGACAAATGAATAAAGAATGCTTCAACACATGGATTAAAACTCAAAAAAAAAAAAAAATGTACCATGTTCTCACTACATCCCTACTTGAAGACTCTGATAAATGAAAGCAAGTTTTTTTTTCAGTAGTGAATATTTTTCTTATTATGGAAATACATTTTGATTATTTGTAATTATCCCCAATAAACTGCTAATGTTTAAACAGTTTGCAACAGGAGTGCTTTAGAGAGAAACAAGTGGAGAAATGCAAGGAGGCCTCATATTACCAAGCTGGTTTTGCCTTTAGGTCAGCCCCAAACTCATGCTTAATTCTTCAAAGCTATATATCATCTAGAGTGGTGGTCCCAGATTTGCAAGACTCACAAATTTTTTCAGTTGAAAGCAATCAACAAAGGGTTAAAGTAAAATCTTTTAAATTGAGCTTTGTGAAAATTTCTGTTCTCATGTTTGCCACCTTGTTTCCCATCCATTTTTGCCTTGAATCATTAAGGCAAAAAGGTTGCCCTATATCTTATCTGACATTTCCCGCTCTACCTTGTGACTGATAAATGACTTTCCTTTGTGTTTTCATAAACCTCTGTGACTCTTGTGTTTCCATTGTTACTGAACTTAGTGAATGGCATATATTAAATCATCCTTTATCAAAGTATCTTTCTCAGAACTTAACAATGTAAATGTAGTATATAAATGTTATGTGCCTGGGACTGGTGAGATGGCTCAGTAGTCTAAAGCACCTACTTAGAACAAGCTTAGCAAAGCACAGGGACTGCGGTTCAATCCCCCAGCACCACATGCCAGCCATCGCTGCCCCCTGGTGGACTGAGCTGGCCACACACACACACACACACACACACAAATAAATAAATAAATAAATTTAAAAAAAAATAAATGTTATGTGCCTGAATCCATAAGAGCCATAGACAGTTCCAGATTTTGGGTAATACAAGTTATAGCAGTAATACCATCTACCACTAAACTAAGACAAAAAAGGTGGATAGCTCTACCAAGCTGTCCTTATTGGAGACATTTTGATAAGAGTGTCAGCTTGTTTTTATGTAGTCCTACAGGATATCTTGTTCTAGATCTGTGTTATCACCTACAGACTATGCTGCTGTGACTCCTGTCCTCCTCACCGTAAGTAGTCACACAGGTGTAGAAGCTCTAGAACGAGATACAATGGAGAGAACACTGTTATGGCTAGTGTCCTCACAATATTTCATTGCTCCTAAATTTAGGTAATCCTGGGATTTTTTTTTGTTTTGTTTTGGTTTTTTTTTGTTTTTGTTTTTTGGTGGAACCGGGGATTGAACTCAGGCCCTTGTGTTTGCAAGGGAAGCGCTTATTCCACTGAGCCATCTCCCCAGCCCCTCCTGGGATGTTTTGAAAGAGAATGTGTCTTTCTTTTCTCTCTCCCTCCCTCCCTCCATGGCTTCACTGTGCAATTCAAGCTGGTCTTGAACTCACTTTTTATCCCAGTCTGTTCTTGAGCTCACAGTGAAACTCCTCCCTCAGCCTCCTGAGTGCTGGGGTTATACCTGGCTTCATTAGCTATTTTATAAGCATGCAGTTTTTAATATGTTTATTGAAGCAAAAGTTTGTTTGGCCAGGCATGGTGGTACACATATGTAAATGCAGCACTCAGGAAGCTGAGGCAGGAGGATTGTCGTGAGTTCCAATGTACATAACAAGATTCTGTGGGGCAGGGGTGTGTGTGTGTGGAGAGACAGAAAGAAAGAGAGATCTTAATCCAAAATTCAAAAATGGTTTGATCACCTACTCCAAGCCACAAGTGGAAAATTCTATACTTGACTTCATATGGCAGGTTGAGTCAAAACACAGTTGCACTAAAAATACAGTTTTAAATTACTTTCAGGCTATGCATTTAAGAAATTTATGAAACATGAATGATTGTAGACTTGTGTCCTATCTACAAGATACTTCATTATGTACCTGAAAATATTCCAAAAATCTGAAATACTTCTCAGCCCAAGAATTTCAAAGAAGGCATACCAACTTTTTTTATACTGTACAATTACTATTTTAAGTGTATGATTCAGTTATTTTACTACATTTATAGGATTGTACAACCATTGCTATAGTCTAATTTTAGAACATTTTTATCAGGCACATTTTTTTCTCAAAACCTGACTAATACAGATAGATATAGTCAGGTTTTTTTTTTTTTTTTTTTTAACAAAGCAGTCTTGCGTCAAAACCCATTTTCTGTTTGTTTGTTTATAAATGTCTAAAATTTGATTTTGTTGAAATGCCTGATTATATTGAGACTTTAGTTTAGTATCTTTTAAGTATACATGCAACCAAAAATACTGTTTATTGTGGAACAGTTTCCTTTTTGTTTGTTTGCTGATTTATTAGTCTTGTTGTGTAGTGGAGATGTGAACTCACTAGGTAGAGCAGGCTGACCTTGAACTTGTGGCAATCTTCCCACTTTAGCCTTCTGAGTGCTGGAATTACAGGCTCGTGCCATAAGGTCTGGCCTTCCAGGTTCAGGGCTTATTAGAGTGCACTACAAGGGCTAGGGAGATAGCTCAGTGGCATAAGCGCCTGCCTGGCAAGCGCAAGATCCTGAGTTTGATCTCCAGTACTGCCAAAAAAAAAAAAAAAAAAAAGTGCACTACCATGCCCAACAATAGCATCTTTTGTAACTCACAAAAATCAGTACATATTTTTCATTTTGTAAGGACTGTAGTTCATTAGTTAGGATTTTATTTCAATATTTAGAGACTGTCCTTTCTTATTTTATATAATTCAGTAGGGAAGCAAAAATCCTGGAACCACCAAATTAAAGAATGAAATAAGAAAGGCAAAAAAACAAAAACAAACCTTAGATTAATGAACACATTTTACTAAAAGGTTAAAATCTTGCCCTTGCATCTGTTTTTTATGGGGTTTTTTTGCATCTGTTATTGATCAGTCATGTACAATACTTATATTTCTGTGATGTGAGAAAATGGCTTGCAGATTTGAAATATGAACTAAACTATGTTAAAATATTTGTATGGACTGTCTGTTTCTTGAAATTTTTTGTTTGTTTCTTGAGATAGGGTCTCAGTATTCAGTTCAGGCTGGCATTGAGCTCACTTTGTAGCCCAAGCTGGTCTCGAACTGGAAATGATCCTCCAGCCTCAGCCTCCCAATTGCTGGGATTACAGGCATACACTATGCCTGGCCTTTTCTGATTTTCTATAAAATATATTTTCCATTAGAATGTGTTTTATTTATGACTGGATCAAAGGTGATTTATTAACAAGTAGTAGAGTTTCCAGTGCATGAAAGTTTGAACTGAAAGGGTTGGTTTTTCTTTTTAGTTCACTGCCTAATATGAATACATGAGTTGAAACTTAAGAAATACTGAAATTATTTAATTTGACAATTTAAGTTTTATTAACATTCACTATCTCAAAAGAACATACTTCTACATTTATGTAACTAGTATACTAATGAATCTATTTAGCATTTTGTAAGTTCTTAACTATTTTTGTTCATTAAATTAACTGCTTTCAGGGCTGGCCAAATAGCTCAGCAGATTAAAGTGCCTTCTTAGGCAGACGGCAGGGGCCTCAGGGGCCAGGAGTTTGACCCTCTGACCTGCCCTGCTGGCCCTGCCCCTGGTGTGCACTGAGCCAGTGATTGAGACTGGGCTGGGCATGGTGGCGCATGCCTGTAATCCCAGCACTTGAGAGGCTGTAGACAAGAGGATCATTACGCGTCTGATTCACACAGTGAGACCCTGTCCTAAAATACAGAAAAAGAAAAACTGCTTTCACTTATTGGTTATTGCAACATTTAGTCTTATTTATAGAATGTTTATATTTGAAACTAAGTGTTCATACATTAATCCTAATTGATGTCATGTACAATTAGATTTTATAATATTGGTAATTTATAAAATACGATTTTTGATTATGATTTTATGCAATATGTGGTACACCAGAAATAATGTTAAAATAAACATTCTATAATTCAAATGTAATACATGATTTTGGTTTAAATCTTGGGGCCAAAGCCTAACATTGGCATATTTCAAAAATTACTGTTTTTTTCTAGTCATTCTGATTCCCACACTCTCCAGCTGTTGTCCAACAAATTTTACAATTTGCTGTGTGTTTCTATACTTCTTTTCCTAAACACATTACTTACGGTTATAGTGCCTCCCCTGCTCTGGGATTATAGGCTTGTGCCAACACATCTGGTTTCGGAGGTTGGCACAGAGGGCCTGGACTTCTGGGGCCAGCATGGCATGCAGTACCAGGAATCAAACCTGGGTCCTAGAGCTTGCCAGGCAGGCACTTAGACCACTGAGCTGTCTGCCCAGACCTGTTTTCTTTCTCAATTTAAGCAACATTTGTGGAGTCTTTTACACAGTGTAATTTTTAAGCCATACAATATTTAACAGTTGCTTGTAAATCCCAACCAGGGATTCCTAAAGATTTTCCCACTCTGCTGAGGCTGTCCTTCTTTCATCTGTATTCTCATATTTATTGTTTCCTTGTTTTATAGAAACTCATCACATTGTCATGTAAGTGGTGGATTCTATCTCCTTTGCTAGATTGAGATCACTTAAATTAAAAATGTTCACCTTGTTTTTGTATCCATAAAGAGCTTGAAATAGTGCCTTAAGTTAACAGTTATTGGGGCCGGGGAGATGGCTCAGTAGAATAAGCGCTTGCTGGATTCAATCCCCAGTTCTGCCAAAAAAAAGAAGAAGAAGAAGAAGTTAACAGTTTACTTCAAGGGAGTTATATTACATAGCATTAAACTTCTGGAATTCTACACTACACGCTAACTAAAAGAGATAATTTAAAATAATTAAGCGTTTTTGCTTGCCATTGTACTCAAAAAGTGTATGTCTGAGATTGGGCACATTCGAAGTGGCATGAATCTTTTGTTCCTTCAGTCATTATCTGTTCCCACTCTCACCAGAATTGGGTATTTTTTTCTACTGAAGGTATTTTTTTTTATAACATTGTATCCCAAAGACCCAAGCACTTGCTAAAATGATGGAGAAGGGGCTGGAGAGATGGCTCAGTGGTCTAAAGCACCTACTTAGAACAAGCTTAGCAAAAGCATCAGGGACCGCGGTTCAATCCCCCAGCACCACATGCC